TAGTAAAAAAAATTAAATCCTACCACTGCTTAACAACCCTAATTTACTAATTATTAATTACTGATTGTTTAGTGTTATTGATTTAACAACCACAGTGATTCACTTAACAACTATGTTAAGAAAAGTTGCAAAATGGGGCGAAACTCATTGAACAAATGTCTCACTGAGCAACAGAAATTTTGGGTTCAATTGTGGTCATAAGTCGAGGACTATCTATACAAATGTCCAAGAGGATCTACCCATAGAAAGGAACGTCATTTGCACTTGCTAGCTTGGACAGAAAAGTGAGAGGGCACAACAGTAGGGAATTTTCAGTGGGAGAATGTAGTTGTGCTGTTTGAACTGAATACCCTGCTCTCTGTTTGCTGGATGTTTCAGTTTGGATACAATTTTCTTAGACTGGTATATTAAACTGGCATAAGCCCAGGACAACAGCTACTTAAATATCAAGTGTGGATATGCCCTAGGCGTGCATTTGATTGCATCTTGAAACTAGTCTGAAACAATGATAATTCCTATAGAGTTTTGCTATTTTTTAAAAAATTGCTAAAGCATCATTCAGGAATTTCACATATTACTGCAGATAAAAGCTCCTTCCCTCTCCTTCCCTCCCTTTGACCCTCCTATAATAAATTGTTGTATTCAAATTGGTAGAATGATCCTTTCCTGGCATTTTTAAGTACTTAGAGGACGCTGTTAATGTGTGAATGTTGAATTTAATTTCCTTCATTTCAAAAATCTGTGTGCAAATTAAGCCTAAATGCATACCATACTTTTACTACTAGTCTTTAAAGGGCCCAGGTCATCTTCAATATTCTTTAAAAAGTGAGATCTTGGCCTAAAATAATGTCTTGGTTATTATTTATGTATTTGCTTCATATATTTTTAAATTACACAACTTTTCCCTCTGAAGTAATGTCTTATTCCTAAGACATTACTTTGTTTCAATCGTACCTATTTACTTTTCATTATAAGAAGCGGGCATATTTTAAAAGAAATTTTCTTTTAATTTGTCAAAAAGTGAACGTTTATACTTTGTAAAATAAAGCAGTGATAGAGGCAAATTGAACATGGTGCAGATCTCCTGAGTTAGTTTTCATCAATATCTCCATCATTATATTGTGCTTAGAATAACAGAAAAACAGAGTTGTAAGGGACCTTGGAAGTCTTCTACTCCAGCTGGAAATCCTACACCACTTCAGACAAATGGTTGTCCAATCTCTTCTTAAAAACTTCCAGTGTTGGAGCATTCACAACTTCTGAAGGGAAGTTGTTCCACTGTTTAATTGTTCTGTTATTTCTCCTTATTTCTAGATTGGTTCTCCCCTTGATTAGTTTCCATCCATTGCTTCTTGTCCTGCCTTCAAGAGCTTTGGAGAATAGGTTGAGTTTCTCTTCTTTGTGGCAGCCCCTTAAATATTGAACACTGCTATCACATCACCCCTCTAGTCCTTCTTTTCATTAAACTAGACATATCCAATTCCTGCAACCATTCTTCATATAGTCCCCTAATCATCTTTGTTGCTCTTCTCTGCACTCTTTCTTGAATTTCAACACTCTTTCTTGAGTCTTCAAGAGCTTAGGAATGTATTGAAATCCTGATGGTTAAGTTGTATATTATTAGATAAGTCTTCAGAAAAGAAACATGAGGTATTTAGAGATAGAATAAGGTGGGAGTGCTCTGTATTTAGGTATCTTTCAGAACCTACTTCAACCTCAGTTTTAAGCAGTATGACATGCTACAATATGTAGCATTATATAACTGACTTTTTAAAAAATCCTTTAGGTATTTGGTAACCAAGCAAAAATGTCCAACATATGCATATTGTCCTATATTTAAAATCCAAATGTGGCTGTTGGTCTCTACTATAAATTGTTTTTATTCATTTCCATGGATGCATGGTGATGACTTAACACATCCTACAATTGGAGTAGCTCAGGGATAATTTTGCTCTTTATGAAAATTCCTTGCATGAAATTTTTATAAAAGCAAACATCAATCTATTTTATGTTAAAGTTTGTCCTCATATTTTATTACACAAAAAATAGAGAAATGGGAAGTTGAACTATTCTTCAATATATACTTAAGGAATAAAAAAAATGCTCGTCATGTTTACATTTGATGGCAAACATCCATTGAAACATACATGGTGTTTACATTAAGATTCTTCAGCCTCAGTGTTTCTATTGGGTTTCTATAAAATCTCCTCTGAAAAATTGGGAATCCTCCGGAATTAATATTTGATGTAATAGTTGCAGCCACGGAAGATATCAAGCCTATTCTAAAATGCATGGAAGGATTTTGAGGGCTTTTCCTTACATTGGTTTCTTCCACTTCCGAGTTCTATTCTGCCAGAAGATTAAATACCAAATGGAGCTGTCCTTAAGATATAACTATTTTAAAGACAGCAATAGATTATCCTGTTTTTGTTTCTTTGCTCCCTCCCCAAAAGTCATCTGGCAATGGGAAGTGAGTTTTTAGTGACTTCTAGACTAGCAGTTCAGACATCTGTCAAAATCCATGCCTCCAGCTTCAGAACAAGGTTCTGGAAGTTTGGCCCCAGGCCAGGAGAGTGGACAGAAGAGATTGGGGAGATTTATTTTTATGTGCCAAGTTCTGGATTCCATGAACCATCTAAGGCTTCTAAGCAATTAGCTGCCAGGTCTGGGAAGAGAGAAAAAGAAAGAATGGTAGCCTCATTAAAATTCCCAGAACTCCAGTTCGTAAGAATTGAAAGCCAGCCTTGTACCCACCAGGGGTGCTATTCAGCAGGTTCTGGAGAACCGGTAGCGGAAATTTTGAGTAGTTTGGAGAACTGGCAAATACCACCTCTGACTGGCCCCAGTGTGGGCTGGGAATGGAGATTTTGCAATATCCTTCCCCCAGGAGTGGGGAGGAATGGGGATTTTGCAGTATCCTTCCCCTGGAGTGAGGTGGGAATGGAGTTTTTGCAATATCCTTCCCCGAGGAGTGGGGAGGGAATGGGGATTTTGCAGTATCCTTCCCCTGCCACGCCCACCAAGCCACACCATGCCCACCAAGCCATGCCCACAGAACCGGTAGTAGAAAAATTTGAATTCCACCACTAGTACCCACCTGCTGTTTGTTTTCCATGTAGCATTTTCCATTCTACTCTATTGGAGCAGAAACCCAGTAGGTAAAGATTAGGTTTTCTATGGTTTACCTGCTTCCTCTCTCAGCTGAAGGTCACTACAGGTGGCTCAGTGGGTAAGACACTGAGCTTGTCGATCAGAAAGGTCGGCAGTTCGGTGGTTCAAATCCCTAGTACAGGTCTCCTGCGTGAGCAGAGGGTTGGACTAGATGAACTCCAAACTCCCTTCCAACTCTCTGGTATTGTTATAGTTCCCTCAGAGCCTGACAGTTATCTGGGAGGTACATTTAAGCACAGGTTACCATTCTTCTGAAAGGATATGAACCCCATGTTGAGGCTCCTTTTGAACACAGATGTTGTTTTTTTCAGAATAATATTAGACCCACATTTAGAAATAGCCTAAACAACGAATGACAGATGAGGGAGCAGGCTGAAAACTCTCTCTCATTTTAGGGCATACACACTTGTATCCCTGTCAGGCATTAAGCCAGGCTAGTTAAAACATGTATTTAATGCTCTTTTGACAGAGCAGTAAACCTGTGTTTAAAAGTAGCCTAACAAGTAACAGACAAGGAGAGAGAGGTTGCACAATGGGCCAACGGTCTTTCCCCACTATACTGTACTGCATTCCCTCACACCTGGTAAGTGATTCTCAAACATGGGTTTAGCACTTTTCTGAAAGAATGGTAAACCCACTTGCTCAAAAGCATCCCAAACATCCACTCACAGGCATGGGTCAAGGGGTGATGCTACTGTAAAATTGCTGAACCAATTCTCTCTCAACAGGGGTGGGTTCTACTTACCTTTACTACCAGTTCGCAACGGGAGCGCGAGCGCACTTCTGCGCATGTACAGATCATCAATTATGACGTCCGGGCGGGTGGGCAGAGCCTTGCACCGTTTTTACTACCAGTTCTAAAGAACCGGACAGAACCGGGAGCAACCCAACACTGTCTCTCAAGCATGACCAAATAGCTGGTTAGCTGATCCAGGTCTCCAAACTGGGGATTGGTTTATAGATCTAGTGTTACAGGAGGGAAACCAAGTTTGAAAGATCCAGATTCCTTGTGTTGCCAGAAGAATGGGTAACAGAACAGCTCTGCAGGATAGAGCCCGTATACAGCAGCGGAGCACTATATCCACAGCAGCCTAAGTGACTAATACAGGGGTCCCCAAACTTGGCAGCTTTAAGACTTATGGACTTCAACTCCCAGAATTCTCCAGCCAGCATAACCAGCATAGCCGGCTGGAGAATTCTGGGAGTTGAAGTCCACAAGTCTTAAAGCTGCCAAGTTTGAAGACCTCTGGGCTAATAGTTGCTACATACAGTTGCTCTCCCATGGATATGTGGTTGGTGAAGTAGATCTGATTGTACCTGTCTCCTTAATCCTGGAACAGGCCAAGGATAAGTTATGATTGCCTCAGGTATGGGTTGGGAAAGATAGGGATATAACAGTATGTGGTCATGCCAGAAAAAAGAGTTTTCTGGGGTATGTTAATACTGTGGTTAGGATGAAATAGAGAAATGGCCTGTTAGTGTGTAGCTTTTATGTTACACGAATGCGGTTACACTATGTGTACCTTTGTAGATTAAATGTAATATGTTAAGTGTACATTGAGACCTGGTACATTGTGTCAAAGGATGAACCATGATTTTGGAAATCTACAGATCAATTCTTGCCTCAAAGTCAGTTGTTTTGATGCCAGTAATCTTTTCAGTCACTCCTAAATTTGCAACACTTGGCCTTCCTCAAAAATAATTTAAAGAGTGATATATTTTGAGATAATGTATATGAAGAACTTTGATTGTTCGAATTATAGAGTTACTTCCTTCTTCTTCTTCAAGTAACATTTTTATATATGTTGGTTTCACTTTTTTTGTTTTAGGCAATACGCTGCACATTGGTAAATTGTACATGTGAATGTTTCCAACCAGGGAAGATAAACCTGAGAACCTGTGATCAATGTAAACATGGCTGGGTGGCACATGGTAAGGACCTACATGCTGTTTGTTTCTCTTATTATATGTTTGTCTGCATGTCTACAACTCTAGACATATGTGTACATTGCTTTTGATCTAGAAAGATCTGCATGAAACAAAAATGTTTATAGTTATTGATTAAATATAAAAAAATGAATCTTCATTATCTATTGAAAATAATAAAATTATTATTCTGTTATTCCAAACCAAATGGAGCTAATCAAGTTTATCCTCCAATAATTGAAGTATTTTGATAGCAATAGCAATAGCGCATAGAGTTATAAACCGCTTTACAGTGTTTTACAGCCCTCTCTAAGTGGTTCACAGAGTCAGCCTATTGCCCCCAATAATCTGTGTCCTCATTTTTCCGACCTCGGAAGGATGGAAGGCTGAGTCAACCTTGAGCCTGGTGAGATTCGAACTGCCAAATTAAAGGCAGCCAGCAATCAGCAGAAGTAACCTGCAGTACTGCATTCTAACTACTGCACCGCCAAGGCTCTTGATAGAAGATGAGAAGTCATAAATATTGTAAATACAGATAGTCCTTGACTTAAAACCACAATTAAGATTGGAACTTCCATTGTAAATTGTTGTGGTTGAAAGTTAAGTTGGACCTGATTTTACAACAATTTTTGTGGTAATTGTTAAATGAATCACATTGTTACAGCTTTTGGCTGATAATCAGCAAAAAAAGGTTGCAAATCACTATCATCTGAACAAAGAATGCTGCAGCTGGTTGTACATGTGAGCCAATTGCCAAGTGCCTGAATTATGATCACATGACTGCAGTGCTGATACAATGGTCATACATGTGAGTACTGGTCATAAGTTACTTTTTCCAAGTTTCCATTTGAAACTTCAAATGGTCATTAAAAAAATAGTCGTAAGGCAAGGACTATCTGTAGTAAAACATACTATGCTATATATACATCTGAAAGAATGAATCCTAACTTCTAACAAATAGTAGAGAGATTAGTACCTTTAGCGTCTCAGCTAAGATACTTGAGGTACGTTAAATTATCTGATTCTCATAGCAGTCTTTTCCCACGTGATTTGCATTTTTGTCAGCACTGATGGAGCGTAACAGTAGAAGACTAGAAGATTATTAAAAATATTATGGCAGTTGTAATAAAGGAACATGGGTTGAGAATCATACTCCCAGTTATTTTAAAAGGAATTGCCGACTGAATACTATTGAAGAAACCTGTCTTCAGCCTCTAAGTTTTTAATTTCTATTTGCACTTGCTGGTGTTTCCTTTTCAGATAAAGTGCATGAGTCTGGCCTGCAATTCGGAGTACACTTTATGGAAAGATTTTATAGATCTGTTTCAGCGTAACTTCAGGTCTGGCAATGAGACCATAATTGTTCTGACTCTCATATTGGATGACTTAGAACCAAGACATCACTTAGCATAAAGAGTGTAGAGAGTAATATTACGTTTTTCACCATATTCATAATGTAAGAACATGTTGTAAATAATGTTAATATAAAGTGCACATGAAACAGATCTTAAGCCAACAAATATTTTAAAAATTAACTGTATTTCAGTTATAGTCATCATTAACATCTTTCACTGATTTTGTTTCTGACTTTCGTACTTGCTCTTTAGCTCCATGAATTACTCATAAATTGCATACATTAGATGTGATCAGACATCATTTTAATAGTTAATGGTTAGTTAATAGTTTAGCATGTAGAGAACGAGCTGCAGCAAGCATCAGAGCTGGGTACTGCCCTTCCTTTTTATCCTTAGGTGTGGCTGAGAATATACTTGAGAATTTCAGGGTCAAGCACAGCCAAACTCTGAATAATATTTATAGAGTTGTATAAAGAAGACACTTTATTACTCATAGCTTGAAGTCAAAGCTTGAAGAGAAAAACATGTTTTGTTTGTTCTAAACACTGTGGCAAACCTATGGATTGGAATGGCAACCTAATGAGTGTAAGTAATTAAAAGTCTATGGTGGCTGCGTTGTGTCTTTGGGAAAACTTGCCAGGTGCAAAGAATCAGGACCACACATTGCAGTTAAGAAGCTTTATTGCTCACACTTACACAGGAGAATGTACTCAACTAATGGTCAGGACCAAATTGGCACTAGATGAGAGTCAATGGAATTCAAAGGAGGTTGGACTTGGGTCACTTATGGCAACAGACTGACTCCAGTCTGATTCCTCTCTTGACTCCACCCACAAGCTCTGCCTTTTCTTCACCTACAACTATTATTAAATAGCTTATACTTTCTTACCCAATAACAATCTTTGTATTCTTTAAAATGCTGCTTTAAAATAAAATATGTACATATTTTTATGTAGTAAGCAGCATCTGATAGGAATTTGGTGTACTAGTGTGTCTTTCAAAATCTGGATAATCAAGTGATATATTCTCCAATGATAGAGTGAAAACCTTGAATATATCACTTGATTATTCAGCTTTCATAACAAGTGCAAAGTATCTATGATAGTCTACAATGTGAAGCGCACAAGCGGAAGGATGTTTTGCTTGAATCTTCTTAACTCATGTGGGAAAGGGAAAGTAAGTTCCATTTGACTCCTCAAACATTTCATTGCAAACCATACATCCACCTGAAATCCAATGCTTATGGAAATGGTTTATATCCTGTGATTCATTTTTGGAGGTTCTTGCACTCACATCACCAGCTTTCCAGTCTCCTTTTGAAAAGTTAATCAAGCTTCTGAGGAAAGGAATAAAATGGGGAAAGACTGAAAAAATCCACGCCATATTGGTTATTCCTTACTTTCACATTTGTAACTTTCAAATAAGTTACAAATAAGAGCCCTGGTGGCACAGCAGACTAAAGCACTGTTATTAACATCAGCTGCCTGCAATTACTGCAAGTTCAAATCTCACCAGGCTCAAGGTTGACTCAGCCTTCCATCCTTTCTAAGGTAGGTAAAATGAGGACCCGGATTGTGGGGGCAATAAGCTGACTTTGTATAAATATACAAAAGTATGAAGGCTACTGCTTAACGCATTGTAAGCCGCCCTGAGTCTCTGGAGAAGGGCGGCATATAAATAAATAAATAAATAAAAAGAAGCAGAATTTGTCAGTTAACTATAGAAGTCCTCTAAGTTACTGGCCTGTGTCTCTCTCATTCCTTTTCAACTTGGTGCTTCCATAGGTCTTATTGGGTTGGGAATGGCTGTCTCCTTTCTGTTGTTTCTCAGATTAAAGGCTTTGTTTTCCTTGCAAAGAGTATTACTGTGTAGATGTGTTTCCTTAAAAAATCATTTATTTGGCAGAGAGAACTGATGTGATAGAGATTGGACATTGAGGAATGAGGTTTTCTGAATGGGTGGGTCTTAGATCAGAATCAGAATTCAAGGGAAGTTATAAAGTTTTGTGGGGATGAGTGATGACAGCACTGCCATTTTTCCCCCTGGTTATCCCCCCCTTCTTTTCTGCATCCACTGCTACCCACTTGGCCAATGAGGAAAGCACTAACGATGCTGAAAAATCTTTCAGTTGTCCTTTTGGTACAGGTGCTGATGAAAATTGGGCAGTTTCTTGCAAAAATGAGTGAGAGGTGGTTATTTTTTTAACCTTTGAGTGGTAATTTTTGACTCTCACAATATGCTGCCTCAACTACTAGCAAGATTTAATGGCTATCTGGATTAAGATATATTGGACTACAACTTCCAGAATTCTTAGATAGCTTGGTCAGCAGCATCAGATTGGGGAAGTCCAGGAAAGGGTATACATGATACTCAATTCTTGGTTAGGATCTGGACATTTTAATTTGGAAATTTGACAATATTTTAATTTCCCTGTTTAAGCAAAATGTATTTTTAATCGTTGGCTTCATTTAACTCTCCTTCATCCTTCCACTTTTATTGGGTTATGTAGTCATTTTAAATAGTTCAGTGGGTCCTTTTAACATTTAACTGAAGTGGTGTGTTAATTGGCACATCCTGTTAAACTGTTTCACAAATATTTTGAACAGTTGCCAGCAATTCGTTAATATAGGAAGGTAAAATAAACAAGGCAATTTAACAGTTTATACCGTATACAATAAAGACAAATTGAGAGAATGTTAAAAAAAGAAATCCATTCCCTGAAGTACAGCATTCCATAGAATTTAATCTATGATGAAAGTCAACCTTTTAAAGGTGCTGCTTTAAAGACAGTGCCATAGAAAAGACATGATAACTCATGCTTCAGAACACACAGCAATACAGGTAGTCCTTAATGAACAATAGTTCCTTTTAGTGACCGTTCAAATTTACAACAGCACTGAAAAAAGTGAGTTATGACCATTTTTTTCCCACATTTATGACCTTTGCAGTATCCTCATGGTCATGTGATCAAAATTCAGATGCGTGGCAACGGAATCATTTTTATGATGGTTGCAGTGTCCCAGGGTCATGTGATCCCCTTTTACAAAGAAGAGGGAGTCAAGCTATTCTCCAAAGCACCTGAGAAGCAATGGGTGGAAACTAATCAAGAAGAGAAGCAACTTAGAACTAAGGAGGAATTTCCTGACAGAACAATTAATCAGTGGAACAACTTGCCTCCAGAAGTTGTGAATGCTCCAACACTGGATGTTTTTAAGAAGATGCTGGATAACCATTTTCTGAAGTGGTGTAGGGTTTCCTACCTAAGCAGGGGTTTGGACTAGAAGACCTTCAAGGTCCCTTCCAACTCTGCTATTCTATTCTATTCTATTCTATTCTATTCTATTCTATTCTATTCTTTCTATTCTTATTCTATTCTATTCTATTCTATTCTATTCTATTCTATTCTATTCTACAACCTTCTGATAAGCAAAGTCAATGGGGAAGCCAGATTCACTTCATAACCATGTTACTAACCTCTGCACATTTAACAAATGTGGCAAGGAAAGTTGTAAAATTGAATTTAACAACTTTCTCACTTAGCAACAGAAATTTTGGGCTCAATTGTGGTCATAAATCGAGGATTATCTTTACTCTCTCATTAGTGCTGCGAAAGCTAGATGCTTGCAAGTTAGCATGCTCTTGTTTGTTACT